ATACTTAAAGCTTGAGAGAGATATCAGGAGAAAGAGGAACCAATGCCTAAAGCTCTCAAGCTTGAGAGAGATATCAGGAGAAAGAGGAACCAATACCTAAAGCTTGAGAACAATATCAGGAGAAAGAGGAACCAATATCTAAAGCTTGAGAGCGGTATCAGGAGAAAGAGTAACTAATACGTAAAGCTTGAGGGAGATATCAGGAGAAAGAAGAACCAATACCTAAAGCTTGTGAGCTTGAGAGAGATAGTAGGTGAAATAGGAACCAACGCCTAACGCTCTCAAGCTTGAGAGCGATCTCAGGAGAAATAGGACCAATACCTAAAGCTCTGAAACTTGAGAGAGATATCATGAGAAAGAAGAACCAATACCTGAAGCTCTCAAGCTTAAGAGCAATATCAGGAGAAAGAGGAACCAATACCTACAGCTTGAGAGCGGTATCAGGAGAAAGAGTAACTAATACCTAAAGCTTGAGAGCGATATTAGGAGAAGAAGGAACCAATACATAAAGCTTGAGAGCTTGAGAGAGATATCAGGAGAAATAGGAACCAATACCTAACGCTCTCAAGCTTGAGAGCGATCTCAGGAGAAATGAGACCAATTCCTAAAGATCTGAAGCTTGAGAGAGATATCAGGAGAAATAGGAACCAATGCCTAACGCTCTCAAGCTTGAGAGCGATCTCAGGAGAAATAGGACCAATACCTAAAGCTCTGAAACTTGAGAGAGATATCATGAAAAAAAAGAACCAATAACTGAAGCTCTCAAGCTTAAGAGCAATATCAGGAGAAAAAGGAACCAATATCTAAAGCTTGAGAGCGGTATCAGGAGAAAGAGTAACTAATACCTGAAGCTTGAGGGCAATATCAGGAGAAGGAGGAACCAATACATAAAGCTTGAGAGCTTGAGAGAGATATCAGGAGAAAGAGGAAACAATACATAAACCTTGAGAGCTTGATATTGATATGAGGAGAAAGATGAACCAATATCTAAACCTTGAGAGCTTGAGAGAGATATCAGGAGAAATAGGAACCAATACCTAACGCTCTCAAGCTTGAGAGCGATCTCAGGAGAAATGAGACCAATACCTAAAGCTCTGAAGCTTGAGAGCGATATCAGGAGAAAGAGGAACCAATTCCCAAAGCTCTCTCTCAAGCTTGAGAGCGATATCAGGAGAAAGAGGAACCAATACCTAGAGCTTGAGAACGATATCAGGAGAAAGAGGAACCAATATCTAAAACTTGAGAGCGGTATCATGAGAAAGAGTAACTACTAGTAATACCTAAAGCTTGAGGGTAATATCAGGAGAAAAAGGAACCAATGCCTAAAGCTCTCAAGCTTGAGATCGATATCAGGAGGAAGAGGAACCAATACCTAAAGCTTGTGAGCTTGAGAGAGATATCAGGAGAAATAGGACCAATACCTAAAGCTCTGAAACTTGAGAGAGATATCATGAGAAAGAGGAACCAATACCTGAAGCTCTCAAGCTTAAGAGCAATATCAGGAGAAAGAGGAACCAATACCTAAAGCTTGAGAGCGGTATCAGGAGAAAGAGTAACTAATACCTAAAGTTTGAGAGCGATATCAGGAGAAGGAGGAACCAATACATAAAGCTTGAGAGCTTGAGAGAGATATCAGGAGAAATAGGAACCAATACCTAACGCTCTCAAGCTTGAGAGCGATCTCAGGAGAAATGAGACCAATACCTAAAGCTCTGAAGCTTGAGAGCGATATCAGGAGAAAGAGGAACCAATTCCCAAAGCTCTCTCTCAAGCTTGAGAGCGATATCAGGAGAAAGAGGAACTAATACCTAAAGCTTGAGAACGATATCAGGAGTAAGAGGAACCAATACCTAAAGCTTGAGAACAATATCAGGAGAAAGAGGAACCAATATCTAAAGCTTGAGAGCGGTATCAGGAGAAAGAGTAACTAATACCTAAAGATTGAGGGTGATATCAGGAGAAAGAGGAACCAATACCTAAAGCTTGTGAGCTTGAGAGAGATATTAGGTGAAATAGGAACCAACGCCTAACGCTCTCAAGCTTGAGAGCGATCTCAGGAGAAATAGGACCAATACCTAAAGCTCTGAAACTTGAGAGAGATATCATGAGAAAGAAGAACCAATACCTGAAGCTCTCAAGCTTAAGAGCAATATCAGGAGAAAGAGGAACCAAAACCTAAAGCTTGAGAGCGGTATCAGGAGAAAGAGTAACTAATACCTAAAGCTTGAGAGCGATATTAGGAGGAGGAACCAATACATAAAGCTTGAGAGCTTGAGAGAGATATCAGAAGAAAGAGGAAACAATACATAAACCTTGAGAGCTTGATATTGATATGAGAAGAAAGATGAACCAATACCTAAACCTTGAGAGCTTGAGAGAGATATCAGGAGAAATAGGAACCAATACCTAGCGCTCTGAAGCTTGAGAGCGATCTCAGGAGAAATGAGACCAATACCTAAAGCTCTGAAGCTTGAGAGCGATATCAGGAGAAAGAGGAACCAATTCCCAAAGCTCTCTCTCAAGCTTGAGAGCGATATCAGGAGAAAGAGGAACCAATACCTAGAGCTTGAGAACGATATCAGGAGAAAGAGGAACCAATATCTAAAGCTTGAGAGCGGTATCATGAGAAAGAGTAACTACTAGTAATACCTAAAGCTTGAGGGTAATATCAGGAGAAAAAGGAACCAATGCCTAAAGCTCTCAAGCTTGAGATCGATATCAGGAGAAAGAGGAACCAATACCTAAAGCTTGTGAGCTTGAGAGAGATATCAGGAGAAATAGGAACCAATGCCTAACGCTCTCAAGCTTGAGAGCGATCTCAGGAGAAATAGGACCAATACCTAAAGCTCTGAAACTTGAGAGAGATATCATGAGAAAGAGGAACCAATACCTGAAGCTCTCAAGCTTAAGAGCAATATCAGGAGAAAGAGGAACCAATCCCTAAAGCTTGAGAGCGGTATCAGGAGAAAGAGTAACTAATACCAAAAGCTTGAGAGCGATATCAGGAGAAGGAGGAACCAATACATAAAGCTTCAGAGCTTGAGAGAGATATCAGGAGAAATAGGAACCAATACCTAACGCTCTCAAGCTTGAGAGCGATCTCAGGAGAAATGAGACCAATACCTAAAGCTCTGAAGCTTGAGAGCGATATCAGGAGAAAGAGGAACCAATTCCCAAAGCTCTCTCTCAAGCTTGAGAGCGATATCAGGAGAAAGAGGAACTAATACCTAAAGCTTGAGAACGATATCAGGAGAAAGAGGAACCAATATATAAAGCTTGAGAGCGGTATCATGAGAAAGAGTAACTACTAGTTATACCTAAAGCTTGAGGGTAATATCAGGAGAAAGAGGAACCAATACATAAAGCTTGAGAGCTTCAGAGAGATAACAGGAGAAATAGGAAACAATACTTAAAGCTTGAGAGAGATATCAGGAGAAAGAGGAACCAATGCCTAAAGCTCTCAAACTTGAGATCGATATCAGGAGAAAGAGGAACCAATACCTAAAGCTTGAGAGCGGTATCAGGAGAAAGAGTAACTAATACCTAAAGCTTGAGGGTGATATCAAGAGAAAGAGGAACCAATACATAAAGCTTGAGAGCTTGAGAGATATATCAGGAGAAAGAGGAAACAATAGTTAAAGCTTGAGAGAGATATCAGGAGAAAGAGGAACCAATGCCTAAAGCTCTCAAGCTTGAGATCGATATCAGGAGAAAAAGGAACCAATGCCTAAAGCTTGTGAGCTTGAGAGAGATATCAGGAGAAATAGGAACCAATGCCTAACGCTCTCAAGCTTGAGAGCGATCTCAGGAGAAATAGGACCAATACCTAAAGCTCTGAAACTTGAGAGAGATATCATGAGAAAGAGGAACCAATACCTGAAGCTCTCAAGCTTAAGAGCAATATCAGGAGAAAGAGGAACCAATACCTAAAGCTTGAGAGCGGTATCAGGAGAAAGAGTAAATAATACCTAAAGCTTGAGAGCGATATCAGGAGAAGGAGGAACCAATACATAAAGCTTGAGAGCTTGAGAGAGATATCAGGAGAAATAGGAACCAAGCTTGAGAGCGATCTCAGGAGAAATGAGACCAATTCCTTAAGATCTGAAGCTTGAGAGAGATATCCGGAGAAAAAAGAACCAATACCCAAAGCTCTCAAGCTTAAGAGCAATTTCAGGAGAAAGAGGAACCAATACCTAAAGCTTATGAGCGATTTCAGGAGAAGAGGAACCAATACCTAAAGCTCTCCCTCATTCTTGAGAACGATATTAGGAGAAATAGAAACCAATATCTAAAGCTTGAGAGCGATATCAGGAGAAAGAGGAACCAATACCTAAAGCTTGAGAGCGATATCAGGAGAAAGAGTAACTAATACCTAAAGCTTGAGAGCGATATTAGGAGAAAGAGGAAACAATACCTAAAGCTCTCTCTCAAGTTTGAGAGCGATATCAGGAGAAAGAGGAACCAATATATAAAGCTTGAGAGCTTGAGATCGATTACAGGAGAAAAAGGAACCAATAACTAAAGCTTGAGAGCTTGAGAGGGATATCAGGAGAAAGAGGTACCAATACCTAAAGCTCTCAAGCTTAAGAGCGATCTCAGGAGAAAGAGGACCAATACCGAAAGCTCTCAAGCTAGTTTGAGAGAGATATCAGGAGAAAGAGACTACCGTATCATGCTGTGGAAATATAATCAAATAATTTATAAGAAAAACCTTTGATACCAGTGGAAATTTTCAGACTACATTTTGTTTATGGTTTTTGTTGCTCGGTCTTTATTTTTCTATGTGGCAATTTGTAAACTGACGATTGTTTTTTTCTTAGTTTTCAGTTTATTTTTTTTTTTTTTTCTTTATGGGATTATCGGTTTTTCTTTGACATATGATTTTTATGGTTGATTTTGTATCTTCTGCCTCTTCTTTTTTTAGATATTACAGGAAATTGAAAAGTTAAAACTGTTTTCTAAAATTTGTAGTTAGTATTTTCATCAACTAATTTTCTTACTGTCAGAAGAGTCAGTGACAGCGACACGATTTGTTCCTGACCGGAATTGTCGTGGGGCTTCAGTTGTTTTTAAACATCCACAGGACCATCCACACACTGCGCAGACTCCAAAACATATTGCTGCTAATATTGCGAGGAAAATTAAAATTCCAATGACTAATCCACCAACACTGTAAATAGTGCTGAAATATAAGTCATTGTCACCTGTTAAAGATTAAAGTTTATACTGCACTCGTTCTATTTGAGCAGTCAAAATGCGTTGACCGTATATTTCTATGTCATATACAGTCACTGACCTGATATCACTTTTCCTCATGAATATTTAAATAGAAATTACCGAAATTATAATTAATTATTCATACGACCTATTCAACCTGTTCTTGTTTCCAATGTATACAACGACTCAAACTTATTTCTTTTGCAATTTATAGTTTGCAAAACATATTTCACTTGTTAATATTTTTGGTTTGCAAACTATAAATCATTATGTTTTATGCTTATTAATTGTTGATATTTTAGTTCATTCTCAAACAAATTCGTTCACCATCGATTGCGGGTTTCAACAGGTAATGTACATTTCATTGTGTTGTATATTTCTCCGCCTGCATGGTATGAGGCCTTTTTATAAAAGGGGAAAGTTTTCCAATATTTAAATAAAATAATAACATTAACACATTAAACAACAATTGAAAATGCTTTTTTTAGATTGCAGTATAAAGACAATAATAGTGCATTGACTTGACATATCAACGATATAAGGATTCGGCCCGAAACGGGGAAAAAGCTCGGCAGAGCCTCGCATTTCCCCGTTTCTAAGCCTCATCCTTATATCGTTGATATGTCAAGTCAATGCACTATTATTGTCTATTTACATATTCGGCATTACCTAACTAAAGGATTGTCGTGCCTCCGTTTATTTCAAAATACTGTTATCAATTGATAGTATATATATTAAGGAATTTAGAAAGCAGAATAAAATGGAAAGTCCGTGTTCTTGTTTTTGAGATATAAGCAATTGAAAATTTGGCGGGAAATGATTCTCTCTAGGCTTTTCATACATTTAACCTTGGCATTTTTTTTTCTTTCAAAAACTATGAAAAAAATAACAAGGTTTTTTTGTGATTTTAAAAAATGGCTTTTTAAACAATATGCAATAAAATTATGAAAAGAAAAGTGGGGATTAGTGAGCAAATCTTTTAATGGATTAGACTAGAGGATTCCGAATATCTGACAAAAAAAAGTCAAAAACAAGAGTAGCGAACATCCTTAAACAAAACAATGTGACATAAACAAAAAACATTAAAACGAACTTTTTTAATAATAGTGTAATTTCAAAATATAAAAGGAAATGAATTTTGTCTTTCATTTTATAACAGTGTTTGTATAATTTCTTCTCTCTTAATATTTCAAGATATGATATCTCCCCTTTCTAATAATAAATTGTGGTCACTAAGTTCAAATTTGGAACAAGACAGATACTTTTGTTCTGAGATATTTATTTTTTGCATATGAAGACCAAAAGTAAAATCCCATTAGGTGAAAGTTTTGGGCCAATACAAAGAATTTAACGAGACTTATTGAGAATATAATCTAATTCGTTAGGGAGCAACCATTTAACTTCAAGGGGGGTTTATGTTTTTTTGTTTGAGTCCAAAAAAAAATTTCGCGCAAGCGCGAACAATTTTATTTAGTTTTTCAAAGCTATCAATCAAATTATTTTGTTCAACACTATAAGGTATAGGGAAAATCTGGATTAAGAATATTTTTTTTTGTCCTCTGCTTGAACAAAATATTTTTTTTCAGCAATATGGGAATCAGAATATTTTTTTAGGAAAAAAACCATAACCCCACCCCCCCCCCCCCCCCCCTTAAAGTTAAATGGTCGTTCCCTTAGGAACAAGTGGAAGTCTGCCCAGATCAGCCCTACACTTAGTTTTTCTGTCGGGTTCACTGATGAATTAAATTTATACTCATTTGTATTTGATATTGATTTCAAACCACAGGAGCTACATATATCTATAAATAGGAATTCCTGGGGGATCTTTTTTTTTTGTTATGAGAACCCCCAGTATAAAAGAACCTTAATTATAAAATTTGAAATTGTTAATCAATTAAATATTGAAGCTAACACGACGGTTGCCACATGTGAATCTGCTTAACTCAGTCCCTGTTTTTGGTAGGGTTCGTGTAACTCAGTCCCTGTTTTGTTAGGGTTCGTGTAACTCAGTCCATGTTTTTGGTAGGGTTCGTGTAACTCAGTCCCTGTTTTTTGTAGGGTTCGTGTTACTCAGTTACTGTTTTTGGTAGGCTTCGTGTAACTCAGCCCCTGCTTTTGGTACGGTTCGTGTAACTCAGTCCCTGTTTTTGTAGAGTTCGTGTAACTCAGTCCCTGTTTTTGGTAGGGTTTGTGTAACTCAGTCCCTGTTTTTGGTAGGGTTCATGTAACTCAATATTTGTTTTGGTAGGGTTCCTTTAACTCAGTCCCTGTTGTTGGTAGGGTTCGTGTAACTCAGCCCAGGTTCGTGTAACTCAGCCCCTGTATTCGGTAGGGTATGTGTAACTCAGCCCCTGTTTTTATAAGGATTCGTGTAACTCAGTCCTTGTTTTTGTAGGGTTCGTGTAACTCAGTCCCTGTATTTGTAGGGTTCATGTAACTCAATCCCTATTTTGGTAGGCTTCGTGTAACTCAGTCCCTGTTTTTGTAGAGTTCGTGGAACTCAGTCCCTGTTTTTTGTAGGGATTCGTGTAACTCAATCCCTGTTTTGGTAGGGTTTGTGTAACTCAGTCCCTGTTTTTGTAGAGTTCGTGTTAATCAGTCCCTATTTTGGTAGGGTTCGTGTTACTCAGTCCATGTTTTTGGAAAGGTTCGTGTAACTCAGTCCCTGTTTTTTGTAGGGTTCGTGTAACTCAGTCCCTGTTTTTGGTAGGGTTCGTGTAACTCAGCCCATGTTTTTGGTACGGTTCGTGTAACTCAGTCCCTGTTTTTTAAGGGTTCGTGTAACTCAATCCCTGTTTTTAGTAGGCTTCGTGTAACTCAGTCCCTGTTTTTGTAGAGTTCGTGTAACTCAGTCCCTGTTTTTTGGTAGGGATTCGTGTAACTCAATCCCTGTTTTGGTAGGGTTCGTGTAACTCAGTCCCTGTTTTTGTAGAGTTCGTGTAACTCAGTCCATGTTTTTGGTGGGGTTCGTGTAACTCATTCCCTGTTTTGCTAGGATTTATGTAACTCAATCTTTATTTTTGGTAGGGTTCGTGTAACTCAGTCCCTGTTTTTGGTAGGGTTCGTGTAACTCAGTCCCTGTTTTGGTAGGGTTCGTGTAACTCAGTCCATGTTTTTGGTAGGGTTCGTGTAACTCTGTCCCTGTTTTTTTAAGGGTTCGTGTAACTCAGTTACTGTTTTTGGTAGGCTTCGTATAACTCAGCCCCTGCTTTTGGTACGGTTCGTGTAACACAGTCCCTGTTTTTGTATAGTTCGTGTAACTCAGTCCATGTTTTTGGTAGGGTTCGTGTAACTCATTCCCTGTTTTGCTAGGATTTATGTAACTCAATCTTTATTTTTGGTAGGGTTCGTGTAACTCAGTCCCTGTTTTTGGTAGGGTTCGTGTAACTCAGTCCCTGTTTTGGTAGGGTTCGTGTAACTCAGTCCATGTTTTTGGTAGGGTTCGTATAACTCAGTCCCTGTTTTTTGAAGGGTTCGTGTAACTCAGTTACTGTTTTTGGTAGGCTTCGTATAACTCAGCCCCTGCTTTTGGTACGGTTCGTGTAACTCAGTCCCTGTTTTTGTATAGTTCGTGTAACTCAGTCCCTGTTTTTGGTAGGGTTTGTGTAACTCAGTCTTTGTTTTTGGTAGGGTTCATGTAACTCAATATTTGTTTTGGTAGGGTTCCTTTAACTCAGTCCCTGTTGTTGGTAGGGTTTGTGTAACTCAGCCCAGGTTCGTGTAACTCAGCCCCTGTATTTGGTAGGGTATGTGTAACTCAGCCCATGTTTTTATAAGGATTCGTGTAACTCAGTCCTTGTTTTTGTAGGGTTCGTGTAACTCAGTCCCTGTTTTTGTAGGGTTCATGTAACTCAATCCCTGTTTTGGTAGGCTTCGTGTAACTCAGTCCCTGTTTTTGTAGAGTTCGTGGAACTCAGTCCCTGTTTTTTGTAGGGATTCGTGTAACTCAATCCCTGTTGGTAGGGTTCGTGTAACTCAGTAGCTGTTTTTGTAGAGTTCGTTTTAATCAGTCCCTGTTTTGGTAGGGTTCGTGTAACTCAGTCCCTGTTTTTGTAGAGTTCGTGTTAATCAGTCCCTGATTTGGTAGGGTTCGTGTTACTCAGTCCATGTTTTTGGAAGGGTTCGTGTAACTCAGTCCCTGTTTTTTGTAGGGTTCGTGTAACTCAGTCCCTGTTTTTGGTAAGGTTCGTGTAACTCAGCCCCTGTTTTGGGTACGGTTCGTGTAAATCAGTCCCTGTTTTTTAAGGGTTCGTGTAACTCAATCCCTGTTTTTAGTAGGCTTCGTGTAACTCAGTCCCTGTTTTTGTAGAGTTCGTGTAACTCAGTCCCTATTTTTTGGTAGGGATTCGTGTAACTCAATCCCTGTTTTGGTAGGGTTCGTGTAACTCAGTCCCTTTTTTTTGTAGAGTTCGTGTAAATCAATCCCTGTTTTAGGTAAGGTTGGTGTAACTCAATCCCTGTTTTGGTAGGGTTCGTGTAACTCAGTCCCTGTTTTTGTAGAGTTCGTGTAACTCAGTCCATGTTTTTGGTAGGGTTCGTGTAACTCATTCCCTGTTTTTGGTAGGGTTCGTGTAACTCAGTCCCTGTATTTGGTAGGGTTCGTGTAACTCAGCCCAGGTTAGTGTAACTCAGCCCCTGTTTTTTGGTAGGGTTTGTGTAACTTAGCCCCTGTTTCTGGAAGAGTTCGTGTAACTCAGCCCATTTTTGGTAGGGTTTGTTTTACTCAGTTCCTGTTTTTGGTAGGGTTCATATAACTCAATCCCTGTTTTTTGGTAGGGTTCGTGTAACTCAATCCCTGTTTTTGGTAGGGTTCGTGTATAGCTCAGTCCCTGTTTTTGTAGAATTCTTGTAACTCAGTCCCTGTTTTTGGTAGGGTTTGTGTAACTCAGTCCCTGTTTTTGGTAGGGTTCATGTAACTCAATATTTGTTTTGGTAGGGTTCCTTTAACTCAGTCCCTGTTGTTGGTAGGGTTCATATAACTCAGCCCCTGTATTCGGTAGGGTATGTGTAACTCAGCGCCTGTTTTTATAAGGATTCGTGTAACTCAGTCCTTGTTTTGGTAGGGTTCGTCTAACTCAGCCCCTGTTTAAGTAGGGTTTGTTTTACTCAGTTCCTGTTTCTAGTAGGGTTCATGTAACTCAATCCCTGTTTTTGGTAGGGTTCATGTAACTCAGCCCATGTTTTTGGTAAGGTTCGTGTAACTCAGCCCCTGTTTTGGGTAGGGTTCGTATAACTCAGCCCTTGTTCATGTAGCTCAGCCCCTGTTTTTGGTAGGGTTCGTGTAACTCAACCTTGGTTCGTGTAACTCAGCCTCTGTTTTGGTAGGGTTCGCGTAACTCAGCCCCTGTTTTTGATAAGGTTGATGTTGCTTTTTCTTTAGTTTTCTACGTCGAGTTGTATTTTCTATAGTAGGACTGTTAGCAGTTGTAATCTGTTCGTTGTTTTTCAATTTTTTTCGTCGTAGTATAATTGTCGGTTTTTCTTCGAATAATAATTTTAATTGTCCCTATGGTATCTTCCACCTCTTTTTTTTTTCTACATTGCAGGAATCGCTAGTTTTTCATTCTCAAATATCGCGGTAATATCAGTTTGTGGACATTTAATGGATTTAACATTGTCAATAAGACAGAAGTCGGATTCACAAAAACTTAACGACCAATTTGATTGTAAGTCATGAACAATTGAGCATACTTGCAATCAATCCTAGTCGTAAGTATTTTATCTTTTAGATAACCGGACCGATATGGAAAAGACCATGTTTTAACTTCTTTCTCATATACTTCCAATATTCGAACGCGCTTAGACTGATAAACCCTAGACCAACCACGAAGTCAATATGAGCATAGTAAAGAAAGTCTTACCTCATGCAGCCTTCAAGGCCGTCACTACATTCACCGACTGTCAACTCTACAATAGTGGTTGTAAATGGTTATTTCGTATATACTACCAATATGTTTAAGATGAAAAAAATAAAGGCGTCGATACTAAAGTGCATTAACCATTCGGAATCTGAGTCTCATTTGGCCTCTTCTTCAATGCTATCATGATCAGATAACTTTGATCTTCGACCTATGCCCTAGTTATCAAGAAGGTTAATATAAAAGAAGATGTTAGGTATGTATACATCAATGAAGAAACAACCCATCGACATAGAAAGAATAAGATATATAGTACGTTAACATTGAGGTAGTTAATAAAAAAAAAAATAGGTGTGTATATACAATATACACACCTATGTATATACACACCTGTGTGTGTATATACAATATGTCATGCGCTAAATCGCCCCGAGTCTAAAAGAGATCTGAAAGAGTTCATTTTGTCCTCAGTTTTCGCAGTCGATTGTGCGAGGTGATGCTTCGGATGGTTCATGAATGTTTCATCATAAATCCGTACGGGGGTAGACTGATTAATATCTAAGTCGCGAAAAGCGCAATCAATTTCTCAGCTAAACTTGGTGTAAACTCATTAACATATCTTATTCATGATACATGACATATTTTATAAAAGGATCCGTCGTTCCTGAAGATGTTATGTTTCTATAACATAGTACACTTATACAACCACTCTAATCAATCGCATCAGATTCTATTTCTATATGAAAACTTCAAAAACCAAACTGCCCATAAGATATCTGTCTAGGATTAACGAATTAACAAATTGCTTGATTATATCATGGATGTTCGAAATGTGGTCACAGATATGATCTATTCCCGAAATAGAGTTCCAGAGAATATAAAGTACGTAAACATATTTCAAAGCATAAGATTAAGATGAGCTTGCCAAGTTTAACTTAGTGAAATGATAGCTACAATGTGCAATTGTACATTTTTAGTATTTAAATATTAGAAACCAAGGGAGCAGTTAACAATCACACGTCGAAGAAGGGAGCCATAAACAATCAAACGTCGACGAATGGAGCAGTTAACAATCACACTTGACGAAAGGGGCCATAAACAATCAAACGTCGACGAATGGAACAGTTAACAATCACACGTCAATGAAAGACATTCAAGGGAGCCATAAACAATCAAACGACGATAAATGGAGCAATAACAATCAAAAGTCGATGAATTGATCACTATTAAACAATCATAGTTACGATCATGAAGGAAGCAGTAAACAATCATACGTCAATGAATGGTGCAGTAAACAATCATACGTCGATAAATGAAGCAGTAAACAATCGAACGTCGATAAATGGAGCAGTAAACAATAAGATGTCGATGAAGAGAGCAGAAAAATAAAATACATTGATGAATTGAGCAGTAAACAATCAAACGTCGACAAATGAAGCAGTAAACAATCGAATGTCGATGAAGGGAGCAGTAAACAAAATAACGTCATTGAAGAGAGCAGTAAACAATCAAACATCGATGAATGGAGCAGTAAACAATCAAACATCGATGAATGGGGCAGTAAACATCATACGTCGATGAATGGAGCCATACACAATCAAACGTCGATGAAGGGGACAGTAAACAATCATACGTCAACTAAGGAAGCAGTAAACAATCAAACGTTGACGAACGGAACAGTAAACAATCATTCGTTGACGAAGGGAACAGTAAACAATCATTCGTTGACGAAGGGAACAGTAAACAAACAAACGTCGATGAAGGAAGCAAACCCCCTATTCCCTTTTCCGCCTGGAAACGCCAAACTTAAGGAGCAGGAGTTGATGACTTTCTCTGAATACCTGAGTTCACCGCTCTGTGTTCCATCTTTAGTTTTTGATGTAGTATTTTTGCCTGTTGTCTGTCTTTACGTCGTTATATTGACCTACTATTTTAATGCCCCTGTGGTGTCTTCTCCCTCTTTTTTTTATCTATGTGTACAAAAGAAATGATAAATGGATCAAGACATGATTTGACACTCAAATCAATACACACCGTACGTCACGTAACGTTTTATGATGAATTTTATTTTTTCAGTTATATTTCTTTCCAAATTGACTTAAATTACAAACTTACCGAACTTCACATATACAATTGAAATTGTCAATAAATTGTTCATCGTTATTCGTGTATTTTACTTATTCCTCTTTGGCATATTTCCTAACATGAAGCTAATATGAATTTGAATTTAAACCACTTTAATTTTCAATATCGAATTGACAATAATACTGTTATAGATGCTTACAACTGAACCGTAACTTGTATTAAAATACAAACGGTTTCAATACATATATTTGAAAATGTAAATCTGTTAAATGCATATAAAAATGATTCAAAATAATATTACTGTACACAATTTAGAAATAAACAGTTTTTACTTTTGAAAGGTTTTGAAATATGATGATAACAATAAACATTATAATAAAGGTAATTTCCCTGCACAGTAAAGCGTAAAGTGGTCGTTGTTTCCGTCTGTCCGTCCGTATGTTTGTCTGTCTGTCCGTCCGTCCGTCAACCAACACTGTTGATTTCTTGTTACATAAATGTTTAGTGATCGTTCTGTCTGTCCGCCTTTCCCCGACGCTGTTTATTCCCTGCTACAGTAAAGTGTACAGTGACCGTTGGTTTGTTTGTCTGTCCATCCGCACATATTTTAATAGGTAAATAGGTGAAACTTATGTTGCGATAAAACAATAGAAAGTTTATTCAAATAAATGTTTTGCCATTGTATTTGCAGACATATAAATATGATTTTATAAATCTCTTTTTATTCTTACATGCCTAAATATTGCACGCTATTTATCAATATTATCATATTGCATTTTGTACTGTTTTTTCTCTTGTAAATCCCTCATATGTGTGAGCACTTCGAAATTACTCTATTGAAACATTTACCCTACGTCATAACTACTCGGCCATTCTCGCTACGCCTTCGTATCGGTCGTTCTCATTTAGGTGTAGCGATAATGTATATATATACAAGTCTAAATTGAAAACAACGTTCAAACCTATGATTGCGTTGGATAAAAACCGCCATTTTTATACGTGTGCATGCAAAACAAATTTTTAGGTAGAGGGGTCTAAATACAGCACAAACAACATTTTCCAAATACCAAAAAAGTGAAAAAGTATATTTTAACAAAACGCATTTGACTAGCAGGTCGAACAACTGATGTTCTTAAACCCTGCCGACTGCCATTGGCGATTGCCAAATAAACGGATCACCAGATGTAACAAAATGGATCTTATGATAATTTATTACCAAACAGAAAACAATAAACTTGCGGAAAAGATGGTATACCGCAAACATGAGATGCAAAAATTTGTACACCATATCCGGATTTCGACAATTAATGTCTCTTCGGTGATGTTAGGAATCGAAACGGTATTTGGAAGGTCATATAATTTACCTCAATTTAAGATAGACTCTTAAATTTTGAAAGAGTCGAAATAGGATAAACGGATCATATAAACACGAAGGCAAATATAATAAAAGCCCAAACGAAAAAATATAAACAAGTCTAAATTGAAAACAACGTTCAAACCTATGATTGCGTTGGTTAAAAAGCGCCATTTTTATACGTGTGCATGCAAAACAAATTTCTAGGTAGAGGGGTCTAAATACAGCACAAACAACATTTTCCAAAATACCAAAAAAGTGAAAAAGTATATTTTAACAAAACGCATTTGACTAGCAGGTCGAACAACTGATGTTCTTAAACCCTGCTGACTGCCATTGGCGATTGCCAAATAAACGGATCACCATATGTAACAAAATGGATCATGTAATAATTTACTACCAAACAGAAAACAATAAATTTGCGGAAAAGATGGTATACCGCAAACATGAGGTGCAAAAATTTATACACAATATCCTGATTTCGACAATTAATGTCTCTTCAGTGATGTTAGGAATCGAAACGGTATTTGGAAGGCCATATAATTCACCTCAATTTGGGATAGACTGTTGAATTTTGAAAGAGTCGAAATAGGATGAACGGATCATATAAACCCGAAGGCAAATATAATACAAGCCCAAACGAAAAAATATAAACAAGTCTAAATTGAAAACAACGTTCAAACCTATGATTGCGTTGGATAAAAACCGCAATTTGTATACGTGTGCATGTAAAGTAAATTTCTAGGTAGAGGGGTCTAAATACAGCACAAACAACATTTTCCAAAAGACCAAAAAAGTGAAAAAGTATATTTTAACAAAATACATATATATCGAGCAAAGGTGGTCGAGTGGTCTAGTGCGCCGGGCATAGTGCAAGTCGATTTGGTGCCACGATATCTCAGTAGCATGAGTTCGAATCCCGGCCAGGGAAGAACAAATACTTGCTTCCGCTTTACAGATCTAACATTGTTGGGCTGTTATTTAGACGAATTATATATAAAATGTTATGTCAGCATGGTCAGGATACTCAAATCAAGTTATATGTTTCTTTTTTTTATTATCAAGTCATCAATTACATGTAGAACATTCAAAGGACACACAACAATTGTTTGTGATTAAGTATTATTTTTTGGAAGAGAAGATGTTGAAGAACAAGTCATTTCCTCGCACGTTTATTAAAAAAAAAAGAGATTCTGAACTAAAGGGAGGCGATAAAGTCAACGAGATCATAAAGCTACAAACCCTTGAAAAATCGACAACTGCATGACCAAAAAAAAAACCCGACAACCAACTAAATGTCCTAAAAACACTACACAAAAAGACAAAGAATGAGCAACACGAGCCCTGCAAAATCAAGGGGTAAACTCCACAAGGTTCAACAGGGTCCAATTCCCGGTAGGGTTAGGGACGTTATATCTGATACCCAGATTGTCATGAGTACTCTCTCTCCCTTAAAAGAGTGCGGAGAGTTGTCTCATTGGCACTCATACCACATCTTCCTATATCTATTTGCAATACATATCATTATAAATAAGAAGATGTGGTATGAGTGCCAATGAGACAACTCTCCATCACAGTCACAATGTATAAAAGTAAAAAGCGAGAAACAAGAAACACCTATGAACCACACCAACAAACGACAACCACTGATCAACAACAGGCTCCTGACTTAGAACAGGTGCATAAAAATGCAGCGGGTTTTAAACGTTTTAACAGGCGCCAACCTTCACCCTAACCCGAGACAGTAATGTAATATTACAACATAAAATGACACACTATAAAATATCAATTGAAATGGCTTAACTCGATCAAAAAGACATTTAAACAAAAACAAGTAAACATACACTGAATGAATAAGTTTGATATATGACACAATATAAATACAGTATTAATTAAAAAAAAGATGTAGGAACCGTGTCAAAAAGACAACTCTAACCTGGGACAAAATGGCGTTAAATAAAACAACGTACTCAGGTAAATTTAAATATAATAATTGTTAGGAGTACGGAAAGCATAAAAAATAAATAAATTTGTTGTTCACAGGACGAGTACATAAGTGAAAATTTATCGTCATACTAAATACTTATCAAAGGTGGTACATATTAAAAATAGTGAGACAAGATATAACACAAAATAAGTAAACATTGAATTACAGAAATGCATTACAAATTGTATCAACAGGTCAAATTAACACGAAAGTACAATTTGAGAGTACTCGCAGTTACTGAAAGCTAGTTAAAAGCCAAAAACAATTAATAATAAAAAATCATATCATAGCATGAATAATGTAAGCAGGTGGTCGCTGCCATGGAAGACTACTGAACCTAGTTCTCATACTGTATTGGCATCTTAAATTCTCAGTTCTTTCATTCCTGTCGAGCCATTTTGCATGACTTGAAGTGATATTGCGTTCTATTGTATTACTGACTTTTTACTCTGTCATATTGGAAATATATTATCTGATGGCTACTTATAAAGTAAACGTAAATACCATGGGTAACGACTGAGCAACATAAACTTCATTAAAACAGGGGGAGGGGGTTATCTCAGGTGCTCCGGGAGGGTAAGCAGATCCTGCTCAACATGTAATAAGTTATCACATTGTCAAGATCAATTAGGATGATGTTGTGATTAAGAACAGCAATACAAGCGTTGCTCCTTTGGTTTTGTATAGTGCGAGTAGGGATTTTGAATTGAAATAACACCATACAATAAATCTTGTATCGTCTGCATATCTACAATACTTGGATGTAATTGGTCCGTTAACATTTTTATCTTTATGTTGCCGAAACTGCTTTCGTACTTCATGTAAACACTGTGTCAATTTCACTGAGACACAAATGGAATTTGATGTGTAAACTGGGCAAATTAACTCCTTATCTGCATGAGAACTGTATGTAAAATAAAAGAGTCAGCTGAATTTATAAGTTTGTCCATTGTTCATCAATTTTTTTTTAATTCACCGATTTTAATCAAATCAAGTTGTCATTCAGGGCTTCATACTGTTGATGAAGGCATTTATTAAGACTTTAAATGGTATTTTTATGCGCAGTGTATATTTATTTGAATACTTCCCCTTTTCCAAGAGACTAACAGTTTAAGATTATAAATCAAATGTGTCTATTGTATTGTTATCAATAGAACAAGATACGTACTTCTTCGCCATTATACTTACGTATCATTGAAATGACAATTTATTTTCTGCATCAAAGTGTACAGTCCGTAGCATTTCATAAGTTTTATATTTTGAATTGGCATTTTGTTACAAAATTTTCTTTGGCTTTCCACTAAATCGATGTATTTGGACAATTGAGCGGATGCTAATCTCAGAGAATATTACGACTTATTTTCGCTGAACTGGCGTTTTCTGTTATATTTATGAATAAAAAAAGTAAGTAAGAGTAATTATTGGGGGCAACTTTACACTACAAACGTCTGAAAAATATAGAAAAAGGTCAAATGTCAGATTCTCTGGCAGAAAGGCAGAAGACGATCCAATGATATTTTTTACCTACGGATATTTTTTTCAACGAGATGTGCGTGTTTTTTTTTTAATAGAAGTGAACATAAATTGATATGTTTGTGTGAATGCAGAGAAGTTTTTCTATAACAAATGTATTTTCAATTGACAATGAATCGGTCACGATATCAGGAACAACTACACCAGCTTCTTTAAACTATTTAGAGTGTGTACAGATAAAAATGGTGTGAAAACGAAATTGTAAAGGTATTAAAACTGGAAAACTATCCAAAAA